CAGGAAGCTGTCCTGGTCTTGTTAAACATTTCCTTGAATATGCTTTTGGGAATTCTTTTCCATAATTATTATGTTCTAACAAAAAATATGGGGGCTGCAGCCTCCTGACTGCAGGCATGTTTCTGCATTTGAGTAATTTGACAACTCACTAAAATCAGAGATGAGAGTAGCTATACAATTGGGAGGGGAAAGGAGTTCAATGTTGTGTCATAATACAAACTGTAAGAAACAGTTATAGTAACATTACTGTGGCAAATATATGTATTGGTTCTATTATATGTCATGTGTTACTAACATCTTTATATATACTTCATTTTTATACCCATGACAACTTTATAAAGTTAAGAATAAATGATTAACAAGCAAATGCAGATTATGTGAAAAGAGCACAAATCATCTAATTGTGGGAATAATAAAAGCTAACTTTATTAAATGTTTTTTGTGTGCTAGGCATTGCACTAAATCTTTTGCATTCTGCTCCATATATACCTATAATTATCTCCGTTTTTAAAAGAGGGAATTGAGGTTTGGAAAAGTTCAATGTCATCTTCAATTTGCCAGGAAAACTGAAGTTAGACAAATAAGAAGCGCTCTCTCTCTCTCTCTCTCTCTCTCTTTCTCTCTCTCTCTCTCTCTTTTTTTTAGTCCCTTGTTGTTGTTCTGCATTTGTCACAAATAAAATGCTTCAAATTATTAATTCGTGACTATATATCCAGCTCTGCAAGGGAGGCTGATTATGTAATTGAAGCAATTCAGGAAGAAGTAGATACTTTCTTCTGATTACACAGTTCACAAATAGCAGCCATGGGTGTCAAAGTCATCTCCATGTATTGTTTGCACATTCTTGCACTTATTTCAGAAGATGTGTGTAAAGAAATGATATCAGTTACAAAATTCTTTTTTGGTGTCATGTTTTCTTCTCATTACATGCTACACATCCTTTTTCCACAATTTCTTGTTATTTAGGAAAGAACAATCAGAAGTTAAAAGCTGCAATGATGCGTTGTTTGTTATTTATGACTTTCTTCAACATGTAATAGAATAATAGCAAGGATGGCTCTCCATAGCCTTTAGGTATAAATCCAAACCATAAGCTTGTGGACCATTTCATCACAGTGGTCTCCAATTATAAATTGTAACAGTTAAACATAATTAAAATAAGAAGACTCAACATAATATTCCGAAAGAGATAAAATCTATAACTGCAACATTTCTTTTGAAAAGTTTTATGGATTTTGACAAGATCCTGTGTAGCAATCATCATCATCATCATTATCATTATCATCATTATTTGTCTAGCGATAGCCTAGAGAACAGCTCGTGTTAATAACATAACATGTTTGCCCACAAAGGACTGGACTTAGCCAAGAGAGGTTTTGATTCACCCTTTGAGTATGGTTAGCTAAGATGTTTTATGTTTTTTTTTTCCTTACCTTAAGAATTATCAAGGCTTATATAAAAATCACTTAATTTTCTTCTTGGAAGAAAGTATTAATTTTTCAAGAAAGTTGGTTACATTTATTTGTAAAAACTTTGTGAATTTACATTTCTTCACTGATGTCCTATGCTTTTTCTCATTTTATTTCATTTGGAATCGAAATGATATGTATATAAATTATTCTTTTGATTTTTACACAGTTTAGAAAAAATGTGCTTCAAGTGTGTTAGTTAAGTTAAATTATCTGTTTTGGCCATTACTTGTGATATGTCTTGTATTCAGCACACATGAATGTATCATCCTTGCAAAGCTGTTTTCAGATTCAAGATTTATTTAGTGATATCTTGGTGTTAATGCTTGTGGTATTCTTATGCATCACGTAAGAATTATCATCCCCATAATCTGGACAGTGTTCAATATTGCATTTTTCCAACTTTTAGATTTTTTTTTGTTCAGACTAAGTAATGGGTCTCAGAAGTTACATTATTTTGAAGGAATGATCTAAATTCTATCAGAATATAGCTGTCCTGCTCCAAGTTGTCAGTCTGAAATTTATAGGCTTCACATCATAGTGATGTGTTAGAATTTTGTTTTTGCAATGCAGGTGGGCCAATCATGAAATAACAAAGTTTTCTAGTGGTGCATATTTAATACATTTAGCAACAAGGGCTAAACAATATGTTTTATTGATTAAAACATTTTAAATTACCTATTATTTATTTGTAAGTCAGTGTGACAGAAAGGGAGGGGCAGAAAGAAAGATTTTCTATCTGCTCTTTTCCCAAATGGCTGAATGAAAGCTGGGAGCCAGAACTCTGACTAATTCTTTCAAATGGGTGATAAAAGCTCAAGTACATGGGTTAGCTTCCGCTGCCTTTCTGGAAATGTTAATATGAAGTTGAATTGAACGAATAGTAGCCAGCTCTTGAAAGCTCCACTCTGCCACTCTGCTATGGGATTTAGTCCTTACAAATATCTGCTTAACCCACTGTGCCATAATATTGATGATAGGTTTATTCTTTAATAAAGTCATATCCCTAAGCTTCTTTATCCTTGCTTTATGCAGGAGACTATCTTAAAGCTCATCATTATCTTTTAAATTTCTGTGCATACAGTCACAACCAAGACAGGTATGTATGCCGCCAAAACCATTGAGCGCTATTCCATACCTAGAATATGTGAAGTCTCTGACTGTGTGTCTCCTCCCAGTTCCCAACTGTGAGATCAGTATCATCACTCTCAGCTTTTCAGATGAGGGAACTAATTATCATTGATAAATCAGGGACACACCCAGAACCAGGCTGCTAATGAAAGGCACGTTGGAGCCTGAGCATAGAGTCTTCTGATGCCCGGAATTATGCTTGCTTACTGCTGTAATCCTAAAGGAGATTCTACTCCAAATCTCTGATTTTAGAGACGAAAATGAGATCCTAAGGAGAGAAACTGCCTGAAATTCTTATGTTAATTATTTCACCTATGAAGTTTTATGCGTTCTCTGTTGGACTCTAAGTGTATTTAAAAGTAAAACTAGAATTATGAGCTTACATATATTCACTATTTTGCACCATCTTTGTGAGCCCATCACTTTTACCAACAATGATATTTGTACTAAATCCATCTGCTTCCCATTCCATCTTTTTCCTGTGGTCTTTTGGTAGTTTTCCATGCACATCTTCACTCGAATGTCCATGGAGGAAAAGCCTATCATGTGGCTTATACAAAAACTCAATGTGTTGCCATCTTTAGTGAATTTTCAGATTTACCTTAAAACTGTGTTATCAAAAGTAATCTATCCTGATAGATTATCTCTCCACTGTAACTATATTACATTTTTTACTTCCTTGAATTTAACATCTGTATACTTTCATTTCTAGTGTTTTCAGCTTGAGATCTCTCTTGAGTTTAAGGTCTATTTTTTCAAAGATAATCGCTCAATAAATGTTTTTGGGTATGCTATATTTTTTTTAGTACAACATCTTCAATTGAAAACTTTACATTTTTAGTCACTTCCAACATTGATCTCTGTTTACTCCATTGATTTTGACAAAACATTCTATTGTTTACTGTGACTCCCAAGCTGTCATCCTTTACTGTTCTTTCATTGTTAGTGCTTACATCTAATTACCATGTTTTAACATGCTTACTTTTAAAATGTCTCTTAAATTTTACTTTTATTTTTACTTTCACTACTTTCAGTGGTGTTTTCCATAACTTCTCTTTTATCACTCAATCTAGTCCATTTAGGGGGAGTGAGAAAACATTTGTTGAAGTTTTAGAATATAGTGGAAATAAAAAAAAATGGAGATCCAAGCTCTAAATTTGGATAACTTGTAAGATAATAGGTACATTTCTGTTACTTCGCCTATTTGTTATGTCGTATGCCTCAGGTCTTTGCTCTTTTATTATACAAACTCAAAGCAAATACTTAAAATCGAGTGTCACTTTTTTTTAATATTTTATTTTATTTGAAAGGCAATTGGGGGTGGGGAGAAACACACACACACACACACAAACATCTTCCATGCTCTGGTTCATTCCTCAAATGGATGCAATGTGGGATGGCTGGAGATGGACTGATCTGAAGCTAAGAGTCAGAAATTTCTTCCAGTCCCCTGCATGGATATCAGGGCCACACGCAGTTGGGCCAACCCTGCTAATTTGTCCACACCAATAAGGAGCTGGGTAGGAAGTGGGACATCGAGGAATCACAGCTTCACCCATATAGGATGCAGTGTCCCAGGTTCCAGCTTTTATAGATATGCCACACCAGCAACCTCAATGTCACTTTTATTGATTCTTATCCACATACAATGTATGTACAGTGTACCTGTTTACCAATACAACGAATTCAAACTTCACTATCAAACTTACAAACTTGTAATGTCAGTGTCACTGAGGGTACTTTGTAGCTATTTAAAAGCTACCCAGCATCATAGCCTAGTGGCAAAGGCCCTCACCTTGCACATGCAGGGATCCTGTATGGGCACTGGTTCTAATCCCAGCAGCCCCACTTCCTGTCCAGCTCCCTGCTTGTGACCTGGGAAAGCAGTTGAGGATGGCCCAAAACCATGGACCCTGCACCCTCATGGGAGACCCAGAAGAAGCTCCTGTTTCCTGGCTTCAGATTGACTCAGCTCCTGCTGTTGCGGCTGCTTGGGGAGTGAATCATTGAACAGAACATTTTCTGTATCTCCTCCTTTCTGTATATCTGACTTTCCAGTAAATAAATAAATAGGAGAGTACTTGGTTTTAAGAAAGCTAAAATGAGATTTTGAAAATTATTGGACCACCAGGGAATGAATTAAATATTTATAAAACATGAAACAAGCTGTAGCATTTTTTGAAAGCATTGCCAATTATTGGTATAGAATACAGAAGCTGCGAATATGTCCCTGTAATGCACTTAAAGTAACCTTGTAATTAAAAGAGCATTTATAAATACATTAATTTCCTTAAGATTCTTGAAATAATTGAAAAGGAATCTTTAGTGTGATGAAAATTTTTTATGGTTTCTCTGTAAATGGTGGTGAGATATAATTCAGTAGTTTTCTATTACTACTAGGTACACACTGGTGGATATTTTGCGTGCCATCTTACTCTCTCTAGAAGCCATGATTGAAGATCCTGAGCTTCAAGTCAATGGATTTGTTTTAATTATAGACTGGAGTAACTTCACCTTCAAGCAAGCCTCTAAACTGACACCAAGCATGCTGAGATTAGCAATTGAAGGCCTTCAGGTAAGGTATACTCTTGGATGCTCAGGTTTGCCAATTCTTATCTAATGCATCGGATTAACAGTATGTCTTAAAGTATAACACAGCCAAATTTTTAAAGTTTTGGAACATTAAAACAGTCACTGAGCTGAGGAGTATAGTAGAAAAGATGCATTTGAGTCTGTTAACAGTGAGATAAAATTTGTTATTATGTGGCACAAATCTTTGCCTAAACATATATAGGCGTGAATTGAAATTTCTCTCTTGATAGTCGGAATAAGCAAAATGGTGTTAGATTTTAATTTTTAGATATTTAGGCAAACTTTGCGTTTATTTTTTTTTCATGTATTGGTTAACTGTCTAAATATTTTTCTTACTTTTGCATTTACTTAGTTAAATTTGAGCAATTGACAGAAATCACTAAATCTTGTTTAATCAGTAAATGAGTAAACGTTTTGTTCTCTGTTAAAATAATCTGCACTTTGAATTAACTCTTAAACTTAATTGGTGGTTTTTTGTTTGCTTCTGTTTTGTTTTGTTTTGTTTTTTTGGAAAAATCTGTCAAGGAATTGAGTAAGGCCTGGAATCTTAATGACATGTAATAACCACTCTTCTGCTTTCTGCCTTATTTCATGTAATTTTATGTCTAATATTTATGGAATTAATTTTAAACTTTTACAGAAATGCAGAAATTAAATTTGTATGACTTTGGTATTTATGTATTTTGAACAAGTATTTAAGACTTGCAACAGAATAGTTAACTTTTCTAATTAAAAATTTAGCAGGTCTAACAGAAATTTGAATTTTGCCATCCATTAAGTCATTATATTAAATGTTTTTATTTTGTGTAAGCTAAAATCATCCAGGTTTCTTCCTGTAGTAGTTGCAACTGCATGTACAGGTACTCACTCTGTGAATACTGACCTCCGGAAAACTGGTAACTTTCCCATGCAGCAGGACACATTAATCAAGTTGAATTCACAGTTTGATTTCTGCCTCTTGACTGAATAGTGATCTTTTTTTTTTTTTTTTTCTGTGTAGGTGTTTTCTGATGCAGGTTTTTTTGAATTGTTCTTGGTGATTTAACTGGACTTGTCATAACTTAAACTCCATCCATTTAAACTCCAACAGGGACAGCTAGTAAATTTTGAAGATGGCACATTTTTGGAAATGTATGTATCTCATAGAGTCAGTCCTATTTCTGTCCTTCATAATCATTATTATTGTTTACCTGTACCTTCTCTGTTTGTGGGGCAGGAAAGTTTTCAGCTGGATGGACAGAAGAACACCTATTATTCCTATGAAAATTGTTAGAAAACAATAAAAGAACCCAGAAACATAATCAGTATGTTGGCTGTTTTCTAATATTTATAGGATAATTTAATAATAGTGTGATGAGTTATTGCAAGAAAACTGAGTGTTTGAGAATTTTGAGTTTCTTCATTAGATGTGACCACTAATATAACTCCTTTTAAATAAAGAAATAATTTATTGTTTATTGAAATTGAGGCATACATACACACACACACACTCATAGAAGGGAAGAGAGAATGAGAGAAAGAGGAGAGAAGGAGGGAGACAGTTAAAGAAGGAAGGGAGGGAGAGATGATAGGAAAGAAAGAAAGAAAGAAAGAAAGAAAGAAAGAAAAAAGAAAGAGAAAGAGAAGAAAGAAAGAAAAGAAAGAAAGAATCTTCTGTTACCAGTTCACTCCTCAAATGTTCAAAGTAGCTCAGTGTGGGCCAGGCACATGCAAAGATCCTGGAACTCAATTCATGTCTCTAACTGAGTGACGGAAATTCACAACCCTGTGCCTCCACCAGCAAGCAGATCATTAGCAAAAAGGTTGACTTAAGAGTGGAACCAGACTCAAACCTAGGAACTCTCATATGGAATGTGGGCATCCCAAATGAGTTTTAAATATATATATATATATATATATATATATATATATATATATATATGTGTGTCTGGTGGCTTTTGGGAATTTTTTTTAACCCCACCCAATTGAAGATGGCCTGGAAAAATCTGCCCCAGGCCAGCCAATAACGATAAGTTTGGGAGGGCAGTTATAACTGTGCTTTAGGTTAGATCATTAATTCCTTTTTTTTTTCCCCTGAGAAGGCCTTAAAGAAAATTATGTTACTTAGAATTATTGAACATATTCATGCTCTCCACTCAAATCACCCTTTTCACAAAACTGATTAGAAAAATGGATTCAGTATGAGGATACGAGGGAGGGTAGGCCAGAATGAAAAACTGTAAATATTTTTTTTAGCATAATATCTTTTAAATTGAGGCAGAAAGATATATTCAATAAGTTATATTCAATGCATTAAAAATACCACTGTAATTGAGAGTGAAAGTATATACAAAACATTGTGTAAGAGGCTGACTTTTCCAAATAAACTTTTTTTTTAGAAAATAAAAAAAAAATATATATATATAAATATATATAATATATATAAAAATATATATAATATATATAAAAATATATATAATATATATATATTCGTTTGAAAGTTGGAGTTACAGAAAGAGAGGGAGAGATGCAGAGAGAGCTCTGGTTCACTCCTGTAGTGGCTACAGTTGCCATGTCTGGGCCAAGTCAATGCCAGGATCCAGCAGTTTTTGATGCTGTGTCTGTAGCCCTTAAGTCATCTCCTGATTTCCCAAGTGCACTAACAAGGAACTGAGTGGAAAATGGAACATTTGGGACATGAATCGGTGCCATATGAAATGCTGAGGTTTCACATAGGGGCTTCACTCATCACGTCATTTTGCTGGCCTGCCAAGTGAAGTCATAACTACTGTGCTGCATGCTTGGCCCAGGGATTTTTATTAAGTGCCTAGTATCAGCATGACTGGATCTGCAGTTGGATTAAACCTTAAGGTTGGTGTCTGGAGAGGGAGAGGACTCCCCATGTCTTCGGGGTGTATGGTGGCTGTAGGTATGGAATTGATTTCTCTGTAGTTCCCGCACATGTATCTGTATCTTCTCATTTTCCCCCAACACAGACTGAATAAGCAGAATTGTTCATTCCTCCTGATTGCCAACACAGGTGCAATTGTAAAGAGAAGAGCTTTTCCTAGGAATAAATCAACATGTTAGCATTCTCTAAACTTTCTTTTTCTCCCATTCAAATAGATTTTTTTTAACTATGTATTTTTCCCCTTTGCTGCAAGCGTCCAAATAATTGTACCTGAACACAATGGTGATTTTGGATATAAATTTAAGTTCGTCAGAAATATAGGATTTTGATATACATAATCTCATAATTCTCTTTTGAAGTAATATCTTCAAGTCATGGTTGCATTTGCTATGTGAGAAATACTACTGTGCGTTGCACTATGTTCCAACTGTGAAAGACAAAAATCATTTTTTACCTGCATCAGGCAGTTTCTTAATGGATAAGAGGCAATATCCAACATTTTTATAGAGTAAAATAATAGTCATTTTCATTGGAAAGAAAAGAGCAATTTGTCTCTTCAAGAAGTTCATTGACCAGGGTAGTTATAGAAAGAATATTCTCCTTAGAAAAATCAACATCTGATTAAGTAAACATGATTTTTCAAGCTGTAAGGTATCTGCCTGCAAAGTCAATTGAAAGATGAGATGTTTGCATATACCTGTAAAAGCTTAGACTCTGACACTAGAGCGATTATGTACATTTAAAATTTGTGTTGCTAGTTTTCTTATAAAGTATCACTAACATTCTTTAATAGTGAAAATACAAGCTCTTTTGTGAATCCATAATACTCCAATTTTTACATTTTATGAAATTTATTCAAAGCCTACCTGTATTGTTTGTTGCACTTTGGATTTGCTTATGTTTCCCTTACTTAACACTATCCTGCTGAGTCTCTGTGCTTTTACTTTTACAATTTCACAGGAATCCCCAAACTCCATCTGCCAAAAAGTTCATAATGAAGTCAGAGCATAGCTTCCTGGCAAGGGGTCCGGCTGTAACAAGGAAGTGAATAGCTCTTTGAATTGCTACATAAGACTCAAATATAGGACCATTGCAAACTGCCTAAAGTAGTGCCAGATATGTTAAGAGCCTTTTAGAGTAGGGCTTGTGAAAGAATAAAGAGTGTGTAATCAATTCATTGGCCCTTTCATTTGACTCAAGGGCGCAGTGTTACCATCAGCTATTAATCTGTTGGCTTTGAGAGTTCCGATTTTTCACAAGGCAAAATGTTCTGCTACCACAAATTCTGTTCCTGTTTGGGAGACCAGTCTTACCTAGGGAATCTTGCCAGGAACAGAGGCCGGGCTGATGACTTGGAATATCACTAGCAAGTTAGGAGCACCATTACACTTAAGGCTGGTGTTAGTTAATTCTGTGTCCACATTTACCCTATGGCTTCAGAAACTTTGAAATGGTGTGTGTGTGTGTGTGTGTGTGTGTGTGTGTGTGTGTGTGTGTGTACGTGAGTATGTATGAATACGTGTGTGGAGTGCTTAAGGGAGAATGTAAAAAGGAACTCAGTGAGATACTGACTAAAATTGGGCATTCAACATAAAACAAAAGGAGTCTGTGCTTTACAACAATGTTATTTTGTAATGATTGCTCATCTGCCAATAGCTTTCACACTTAGAATGCTTTGGACCATGGCAGAAACCTTTTGCTTACAAAACACCTTTCAAACTTAAGTCAACATGGTGTTGCATCTGTGGAAGTGGGTCAAAACAGTGTCTATCTTTTTGAAAATTAAGATACAAACTCATAAACCATATTCATTCACACATTCTTATTTCACATTTTGTATGCAGAGTCAGAATTATACTGAGAAACAGTGACAAGGGCAGCCTGTAAAAATGTGACATTTTGTTGATCACATGCATAACTGATGGAGCTAAGCGTGCTTCCTCTCAGTTGTTACTTAACCTAACAAAATTAGGTGAAAGCCCTGAAGTTGCTTTATTTTATAATGTGAGAATGTAGTTTTTGGTGAGAAGTTGAATCTCACAAACGTATGATGTTGTAGATATTTCTTCAGAGCTCATAATTAGCATGTAAAA